ACTCCTCTTCTGGTCTGAGGAACCGTTCACACCTGAAGTTCAGCTTCAGACCGAAGCTCTGAAACAAACCAGATGTGAACGAGTCGTAACATTTGTCATAAACCAGCATTGGAAGATTTGAGTGTCCGGGGGGGTGTGAGTGAATATTGTGTTGTGAGACAGACTGTGGATCTTATTTGAATTGAATTCTAATCATTAGTGGTGAGAGACTGAAGACACCTCTGAAGACTGCTCGTCTCAGACTGTCAGCTCCGTGGAGGCTTGGATGTGCACAGCGTGGAGGATGCAGTGTTCTCGGGCTCAGGCCCAGTGGAGCCGTCTGTGTGCTCCACCTTCAGCCTGGTTCCTTTGTTACTGCGCTGGCAGCTCAGCCGACTGTAGAAGAGGCTCATACTCTTCTGCTCCTGGCCAAGGTTCTGTCCACTGGGCTGCAGCAGTAAAATGTTAATCAGTTCAGGAGGGAGCTCAGAGACACCACCACATGTGCGAAGGACGGAAATATAAAGTTACAGGAAATAAAAAAGAAAGAAGTGCTGATTGGATGGACACGACCGTTAAATATTGATAAACTCCCAAACATGCTCGGCCCCCAGTGTCAGCTGGGATTGGCTCCAGCCCCGACCTTCATGGATGGATGTAAAACTGTGAACTCATCATTCTGGATTTGTTATGTTTGTGTGTCTGCAGGAACGAGACATCTCAGTCCTGAGTGAAGCGTCGTCACCTACAGGGCTTCAGATAAAGAAAGATGCTGTGAGCCGGTGCGTGGATGACTGTGGAGCAAACCTGTCGTTTGCAGCTTCAGTCCACAGAGACACCGGAGCCTGAGAGCAGCCTCCCCTCTGGAAGGTGATGTAAGGTATTGTTGCGGAGCTGTCAGAGCTGATCAAATTGTGACAGTGGTGGAGAAAAAGCAGAAAATGTTTCAGGGCTGTAAACACCGCCAGGAGCTCTAAGTAATTTGTTTTGGCGAAGTGGAGCAGCGATGGCCATTTGTCGTCAGCTACCATTCTGCACACAGCCCCCAGCCCATCAGACTGTTGTGACAACCTTCCTGCGCCATGTTGCTTCCAGCAGAGCGCCCAGACTAAAAAAGGTCTGAGACGGTGGTCAGAGGAAACAAGACGTCATCACCAGCAGCTCGGAGGAAAAATAACATTAAAGGTCTCAAGTGAAAGAGAGGAGCTGGTTTTATGAACAGAGTCTGAGACTGAGGAGGAGGAGAGGAGTGAGAATCTGTCAGAGGCTCCTCAACCTCTCCTCCTCCAAATGAGATCCATACTTTAAAACTATGTTCTGAGAGACACAGACACGTGTGAATCATGTTTCCTGACCAGATGGAAAATGTTTCGACACTAGAGGACGTGGCTCTAAAGTCCGATCACGAAACACCGGTGGAAATAATGTGGTCAGTTGTGGCCAAACACGTCTCGACATGATCTGAGGAGCCGTCTCAGTCAATATATATATAA